ACAAACCAACGTACGTAGTTTTAATGAGGCCAACAACCATAAATTTAGAGATTTAATAATGGAAGAAAATTGGTCTGTAATACTAACAAATACCCCTGATGCTAACCAGCAGTTTGATTGTTTAAATTCGGCTTACAACAGGATTTATAACGCTGCCTACCCGACAAAAAGACAGTCCGAGCGCAGACAAAATGAACGTGTTAATCCCAAACCATGGATACTGCCCTGGCTTGAAGAAGCTATAGAACGTAAAAATCAGGCATATCATGATTTTGTTAAGGAACCAGTTGATAGGAACCAGCTAAAATATGACCGTTTGAAAAAGTTTTGCACCAAACACGTTGACAAAGCCAAAAACATACACTACAAAAAATTCTTTGAACAACACAAAGATAATTCTAAGAAGCAGTGGCAGATGATTAACGGACTTCTGAATAGGAAACCAGCCAAACCTACATCGATAAAACTGTCGGACGAAAACGGACAAGTCAGCACTCCGGCAGCAGTAGCAGAAAAATTTAATGATCACTTCTCAAACATCGCTCCAAAAATTAAATCTGAAATTAGTAGTAGGACCACTTTCGATCCTGGTGGGGCCCAGGGGACACTACGTAACCCTTCTCCAAATAGTATCTACATAAAACCAGTCACAACTACCGAAGTTCAAGACGTTATTAACCTATTTAAGAATAAAGCTACTCTTGACACCAAAATCCAACCACTCAAAATTGCCAACAGCTGTCATAATTTTACCACTGTATTGGCCCACGTTGTTAACAGCTCGTTCGAACAAGGGGTCTTTCCCCAAGCCTTGAAAACGGCAAAAGTAGTTCCTGTACATAAAGGTGGATCTAAAACTGACATCAAAAATTACAGACCGATATCTCTACTTGCCACTTTCTCAAAAGTCTACGAAAAGCTTATGCACAATCGAGTCATAAATTTCTTGGATACCTACAATATACTTTGTGAAAATCAATACGGCTTCCGCCCAGGTAGGTCTTGTGAACATGCACTTCTTAATGCTAAAGACAGAATCCTCAATTCAATGTCTAAAAAGCAAGTTACTTTGCTCCTCTTGATTGACTTTAGCAAAGCCTTTGACCTTGTGGATCACTCCATACTCCTGAATAAGCTCGAGCACTATGGCATAAGAGGTCTAGCTTTAAACTGGTTTAAATCATATCTTATGAACAGAAACCAGTTTGTATCAATTGGATCCTCTGAATCCTCAGCCAATCCAATTATTTACGGTGTACCCCAAGGTTCAATTTTGGGACCTCTCCTTTTTATAATCTACATAAACGATCTTCCTCAAATATCAGAAATAGCTAATTTCATCATGTACGCAGATGATGCAAACATTTTCCTAACAGGAGAAAATATAAACGAGGTTTATGATAAGCTCAAAATTCTTAGCGATGTCTTAGTTAAATGGGTAGATAACAACGGATTAGCTCTAAATCTTAAAAAAACGAATTATATGATCTTTTCTCGACAAAGAAACCTCATTTATCGCGATGTAGTAATTTCTGGTGTCACAATCGAAAGAAAAACAGAAGCCCGTTTCTTAGGTGTTATAATAGATAACAAACTGAACTGGTCGCAAAATATTTCTGCCATGAAAATGAAAATGGCCAGATACATTGGAGTCATGTACAAACTTAAAAAATATTTGCCTCTGGAAGCACGTTTACAAATATATCACAGCTTTGTGCAGTCTCACCTTAATTACTGCTCCCTCGTCTGGGGTTTTGCTGCCAAATCCCATATAGAAACACTATTTGTTAAACAGAAAATGGGTCTTAGAGCAATACTACCAGGTTTTGTTAATTACTGGTACAAAGATGGTACACCACCAGCAAGTACCAAGTCTGGTTTCTATGTACACAAAATATTGACAGTTCAAAGTATCATCGTGAAGAACGCATTAGTTTTTATACATAAGCTAAAAAACTTCCCAAGTCTAGTGCCTCCCTCTATAAAGAAAACAATACCTAACAGTGCACCAATATTTAACGTCGCCGATCCGGATTCGAGTCTTACAACTTTATGGTCAGATGAATACGGTAAACACCCTTACAATAATTCAGTATTCTACAAAGGTCCACTATTAGCAATAAACAGATACAGTGTCGCAGCAACTTCCTTGCCAAGTCTATTCAACCTTAACATCTACAAAAGGTGCATAAAAAACATGCTCATTGATCAACAAAACGAGGGCATTGCAGACGAATGGCCTAACTTTATGTTATACAATATAACGGGACTAAGGAAATCAGAGCGCAACATCAACCGTAATGCTAATAATAACTCTGTCCCATAAGCACGCCATCACAGAATCAATTTCACTGCATACCATCTCAGTTACACTGCCATCAATTCGCCAGCAAAAACGGCATGACGCTATGCGACTGATAACAGTCGTTAAATTTTAAAAATTTTGGAATAGCTAGCTAGCAGTAGCTATGCGCCTGTTTCCACTCTAACAACTCTAAAAGCATATTAATATGATAATTTCAACTAAAGGCAACTTTATATGTGCTCAGCTATGTTTTGTTTCGACAAGCTCTATTATATACATTTTAATCGTTTTAATGAGATCTAATCTTGTATGAGTTTTGAGTTTGAATTGATAACACTTATTATATATATTATTTTTTGAGTAAACATTGGCTGGTACTTCGGGCCGGTCCCCAACAAAAAACAACAACCGGGATAAAGATAATTTTACACAGAATACATAAAAATATCATATCAATTTTTTGTATTTCTTTTTTTTGTATTTTTTATTTCTATCTCTGCAGTGTTTGCCTTTTTAAGGTTTTTGTAAATCATCATTTTTTGATCTGATGTATTTACTTTTGACGGGTAGAAAAGAGGGCCCAAAATTGATAATTCTATATAATATAGGGTTTAGATAGGAGAGATACTGCGATGTAGGGTACCGAGGAAAGAAGGTGGACGCCAAACATGAGATCCATCTATTAAAAGTCTCATACAACCTCATCCCTGCCCTATAATCGAGTAGATCATGTGTTTTGAAACTTGTATATGTATCGTGCTCCATGCCAATTGCAACACTAAATTTGATTGTGCTCTGCCAATTGCATCGCTTGAATTTCGTTTTACTTAATTGAATGTATACATTGTTTGAATGACCGTTTTATCAAAACAATATAGAGTTTTAATATTATAAGGTAGGACAGATTCTATTGTGTAGAGAGTTGAAGAAGGCTTTTTAACATTTAAGCCTCTCCCACAAATTCCATCATGTCATCTCAATTTTGTTAGTTTCTTTAAGTTTTTAACTTTGCTTTTAAATCAGTCTTCAAACATCACTGCACTGGACTTAAGCAATGGCCAAATATCAAGAGGACGAATGCAGTTTAAACATGGAAGCAATCACTGTTATCGGACAAAACTTAAATTGCATTAAGTTACTCATGTCCAAGATTAGTGATAAGAATACTGGTTACAAAGATTTCATGATATATGGTGATCGGCTCATGACAATTCTTGCTGAAGAAGCACTTGCAATTATCCCATCAGTGATGCCACAAGATATTGTAACCCCTACTGGGATCTTTAAGGGCCTTGAAGATACTCGCACAAAACAACTGTGTGCTGTTTCTATTATTAGAGCAGGGGACACTTTGCTGGAAGCATTTCGTAAGCTGGAACCAGGAATAAGAGTTGGCAAAATACTGATTCAACGTGATGAAGAGAGCGAAGACAAACACCCAATATTTTATTACAAAAAGCTTCCTTCTGACATAGCTGATTGCTTTGTGCTTCTAGTTGATCCGATGCTTGGAACTGCTGGTAGTTGCATGTGTGCAATGGATTGCCTGGTTGAGCATGGTGTTGACCCCAAAAACGTCTTGTTTGTCAATCTATTATGCTGTAAATATGGGATGCAAAAATTACAAGCCAAGTTTCCAGATTTGAAGGTTATCACCTTTAATATTGATGGATATTTAAACGATGACAAGTATCTTGTTCCCGGTATTGGAGATTTTGGTGACCGATACTATGGAACCAACCATTAAGGACCAACTTATCTACTAAAGTTCCAATTTGGGACAATTATTGTGTTGATGCTGCCCATCGCTAAGACATGTGCTTTGAAGCATACTTAGTGTGCAACAGATCATGTGTCTTAATAATAGTTGGGGACACCACAGTAACAAGAAAATCATTTTATGACTCTTTTCGATAATTTTTAGATACTTTTTAGATAATTCTAAGTTTCAGATAATCAAGCATTAAAGCGTCCGGTAGTACGTGGTCTGCCAACTGGGGTGAACAATTTGTTTGGCCTTAATAACGATATGTATCATATCATATACAGTCTTGTTCAATGTTCATTGCTGTAATATGGAGTTTGTTTTATAGTGAATTATTTTTGTTATGCAGTATGTTTCACATAGTTTCTACATCAGAGAACATCCTTGAGGATGATTTATTTTCATACTATGCATGAAATTGGATTTTATCTTTCTCACACTGTAATGAAGAGGAATGCTACCCCCGTTGAAATGGGGTCCATCAAAATGCTTTTTTCTTTGAACAGCAATTCGACATCAGTAGCATGTTTGTTATTAAAAAGTTTGTTTGTTACTGAATAGTCGAGTTCGTTGTTTTTGTTGATTTATAATCGATTTATTATGTGATTAGAATATTTTAAAGTTTTAAACCATATGGGATTTTAAGATTTTAGATTGGATATATATATAATATGATTAGTGCTAATAGAATAAAAGGAAACTGTAATATCTACTGAGATAAATAAATTCTATCAGAAAGTTATGTGTTCTTTTTCTTATTTTTTCTGAAAAAATTATCTTAATTGAATCATTAGTTTAATATTCAAAAAAGTCAAATAGAATTGTATGTAAATCAGTCTCGATGATTCAGTTCCCATAATTTCCTGATAATTTCCTGATTTGGTTCATAATTGAACAAAATTAGTTATGAAAACCTTAATCTTCCACCATAGTAGTAAAAGATGGCAGATAGCGTCATAGACCACCTATTTGATGATGCGATATCATCCGATCTGCCAATGCCAGGCGCTGAGCTGGACTTCTTCTTGGATCATCTTCCTGTTGATGATACATCAACCTTTTCAGTGGTGAGTTGGTACAGCATCTGGGGTTATCTTTAATCAGACAGATATTGTCAAAAATTGCACATTACTCTTACTCTGCAGATTTTAAAATTCATTCCTTCCTCTCCGTGATATGTTGAAAATATTATCAGATGTCGATAATTATTTTTAATTTGTTCAGAAGGAGATACTAGCAGGAGGAAATCGAGACCTCTGGGAGTTTGATCCTGATGTAGACCAAGATAATAATATGGTGAAAAAGGTAGGAGGAAACTGTCCATGAGATGGTTTCTAACACAATGATGAAAACATTTCTCAACATCAGGTGCTATTAGTATGTATTACAATTACGATACAAATAACATGTAATACCACCAGGAGCTGCTAAGTGATGGAGGTAGTCCTGACTCGTCCGGGGCAGACAGGTACTCCATTAACTCAGATGAAGAGCGAGATCCACTGAATCTCAACAACAACCTCCTCAATGTAGACATCTTCCTTAACAAACCCTCAGGTAGGAATGTTCAGGTTAAAACCTTTGTGTCTCAATAAAAAGTATATAAAGATACTGTACCACTACAACTAATTACACTTTATATTAAGTACGTCTTCGTCAGAACCCCTGCATTTAGAAAAATATGAGACCACGATAATATATTAAAGTATACATAGAAGGGAGTTATATGAGTATTGCTGAAAGCACAGTGTAAGGCCTAATAATATTATTATAACAATACGCGGGTTATGCTGGCTCTCGGAAAACTTTAAGTATAAAATACCCAAGATAATAATCTAATAGGACACGTCTTAATCTTATCATGTCTAAGTCATACCTCTGAATTCACAAGTATCGAATGATTCGTAAACCCTGATAAATTAAACACGGTGCTTCTAATGCTTATTATCTTCTACACCCCACTACTGTTATACCTGTACCTGTACCTGTACCTGTACCTGTACCTGTACCTGTACCTGTACCTGTACCTGTACCTGTACCTGTACCTGTACCTGTACCTGTACCTGTACCTGTACCTGTACCTGTACCTGTACCTGTACCTGTACCTGTACCTGTACCTGTACCTGTACCTGTACCTGTACCTGTACCTGTACTGTACTGTACTGTACTGTACTGTACCTGTACCTGTACCTGTACCTGTACCTGTACCTGTACCTGTGTCCTGTACCTGTACCTGTACCTGTACTGTACTGTACTGTACTGTACCTGTACCTGTACCTGTACCTGTACCTGTACCTGTACCTGTGTCCTGTACCTGTACCTGTACCTGTACCTGTACCTGTACCTGTACCTGTACCTGTACCTGTACCTGTACATGTACCTGTACCTGTACCTGTACTGTACTGTACTGTACCTGTACATGTACCTGTACCTGTACCTGCACCTGTACTGTACTGTACCTGTACCTGTACTGTACAGTACAGTGTACCTGTACTCTACCTGTACTGTACTGTACCTGTACCTGTACCTGTACTGTACTGTACCTGTACCTGTACCTGTACTGTACCCCACTGTACCTATACTGTACCTGTACCTGTACCTATACTGTACCTTCATTGTATTGTCTTCACTCTTCAGGAGCTGATAACGATGTGCTGGTGAACATACCTCAACGTACTGGGATCTACACTACAGGCAGGATCTCACATAGAGGCAGGGTCAATACTGACGATCTGCGGTGCAGCAGTGTAAGTTTCATAAACAGTAGTTTTATAATCAGTAGTTTTATAAACAGTAGTTTTATAAACAGTAGTTTCATAAACAGTAGTTTTATAAACAGTAGTTTTATAAACAGTAGTTTTATAAACTGTAGTTTTATAAACTGTAGTTTTATAAACTGTAGTTTTATAAACAGTAGTTTTATAAACAGTAGTTTTATAAACTGTAGTTTTATAAACAGTAGTTTTATAAACTGCAGATTTATAAACTGTATTTTTATGCTGTACAACATTCTAGAACTTTGGGGAACTGCTTCATGTTATACTTATCTCTTTTCATTATATTTAAGAATATAAGTTGTATCTGACTCGGTTTTATGACAGGTGAAAGGAAGAGATATTACAGAGGAAGAGAGGAAGATGTTAGATGAGGAAGGAGTGACCATTCCTTACAATGTTATCCTTACTAAGGTATGTCGACTCAGTCACCACTCCTCTTATTATAGGCCGTTATTTGTTTGCGTTTTCTTGCAAAATATGAAATTTGCGAGTATGATTTGGTATTTGATGATATGTTCCCTTGACAGAACAGTATGTCACATACTGTATGTGTCAGCAAGTCAGACCTCTAACCATTATCTGTACCAAAATATAACCAAATTCTTTATATTTCTTACATTTAACGTGGTTGATCCTGTCTGATGTCAGTACGTTACTCTAATCTATCAGCTGTAATTGCCCAATCTGTCAACTTTGCAAACTTGGCGGATATTGTGGCAAATTTTGATCCCTCACTAACATTCCGTGCCAAGAGGATGACTGTTGGCCATAACTCATAAGTGTTATTATATTGGTTGCCATGTACCAACGAGCAGTAGGTTACTAAGATTACTTCTTCTGTCACATGCATAAAGTTTACTTGGCGTGCAGGCCATCAACAAATTCTCCAGTTTTCATACTGGAAATAAATTGTGGGGGATTCGCAAAGATGATCATGCTTCCAAGCTTTCAAGCTGAGTAATCATCTGGAATGAGTCTGGTGGTTACTCAAGTTTTTACTAAGCAGAATGATCATCTCATTATTCACGTAGTGTGTGTAGAGTGTATATAATGTATATAAAGCTCATGTGAGACAGTGAGAGGGAGCCTTGTACCATCTCACACTTTGCCAGCAGTCCTCCATGCGGGAGCAGCTCTCTCTCCACATCATTCGTGGTGGTCACGTGATTTGTTAAGCGCTGGTCACGTGACAGCTGGCTCGCTCTCAGAGAGGTTAGCTGGACCCCTTTGTCCCCATTATTTAACACCTAATTTAGATGTCACGGAGGGATTGGGTCTCCTCAATAACGTGACACCTTTACCTCTTGTGTAATTGGCTCTGGTTACTAAAATGTTTACACTATAAGTCCAGGGATCGAATTAATTTGGCCGCACTGAGTTTTTCACAACACCGAACCATGCGTATTATTATACACAATTTAGGGGACCTTATCCTTCAATATCAACCTTATAATATCAAACCTGTATTATATACTAAACTGTCTGGATCATGCCCCTAAAATAATATTTACCTTGTTCAAATCATGGTGGCTGTAACCAGCACACACAGTACAAGTTATCTCGTAAACGTAACGGGTATTAAATTGTTTCTGATTAGGTAAAAACTGGACGGCTCCAGTGCAGGAGTTAATCTCATTACTTTTACTGCCATTGAGTTGAAAACTGGAGAATACTAATTAGTTTAACTCCGAGCCATAAAATAAACCTATAGTATTACTTCAATACAACGAAGTTAGCAAGACATGTCTGGTTTTCCGTGAGGGACTGGCGGTTTAAGTAAGTATACTAATCCTCCGAGACTCTGAGAGGAGAATGGATACCGATTAAAAATAGTCCAACAACATCGACTGTTATTTCTATGTGAGGTTTTCGGAGAAATTGTGTAAAGTGTGATCTAAAGTTTACGCTCTCTCCAGATAGACACTGATAATCTTATCCGGGTGATTTATCACACTAATTTGATTAAGGTCTGGTCACTACGCCGGGGTGTAAGGAGCCCCGGCCCGGTATAATAATTCGCTATTTAATTTAGTTAGCTGTTGCAAAAAAGGAGGTTTAGTGTGTTGTTATAGGGGGGCGATTATATCGTTAGTCGATTTGTCATCACCGCACCTTGGATCAACTTAGTGAAGTAATGTGATCTCAGATATATTACAATGATTGGTTTGTCGGATGGAACAATGTTATGGTTCTTAAGTAAACAAGAAAGTAGATCTAATCAGCACGCTCAGTCATGAGGAGGAAAGCAGGATGTTGTTTTGTGGAGTGAAATGCTGTCAGTTCCGGAAGTTAGCATCTGGAGTTGAATTATCTAAATTAAGTTATGTTTAATTAACCACCGGAATACATTTGCAAGGAGTTGAACTGGTTCTAGCATAGAAGAAAGAAGCTCCACAGTGTGCCATTAACGCTCGGAAATTGTTTGCCGGAGATGTTTCATTTTGTCAAGATCCACTGAACCACACTTTTGATGATGAATTGAAAATAGTTGTTCGTACGATATAAAATACGAATCCTAAATATAACTCATGAAAATTAAATAATAAAGTTGGTCACTTTATAAACTTACCCGAGTCTAAATTCTGAGTTTATTAAGGCTTTGGAGGCTCAACAACGTAGATTTAGTTAGGTTTTACATGTGTCTACACTGATAAGTTATCACACTGCTATTTACGGGATTTACGTCCCCTACCTAAAGGCTATACTATTTACTATTCTTGCGCAACACGTTCCAGCGAAAGACTTGCCTTAAAACACACGCCCATATCACTGCTCCTTCATCAAAACAATAGTTTTCTGTACAGCGCACACTTATATTGTACAGAAAGGTCATTGTTGCGCAATTCTTATTTAAACAATTATTTCTGTCGAACAAAACACTCTTTAAGCCCTTTTAACCGTTCAAAACGTTAATTAGACTAAACAAGATCTCTCAATAATAGTTGAGCTATGATACTACATTCCCACATTCCCATTGTCTGTACTCTGGCTTCATACTGGGTCTTATCGTGCGATATCGTGCGACAACCGCACATTTATAAGATCTCTCTAACTTTGCTATCCCTGCAAACTGTCAACTTTGTGCCTGTATCAAAACATTACCGATAAGCAGATTCATTGATGTGCCTGAAGTAGAAAAATAATAATAAGCAGACTCATTGATGTGCCTGAAGTAGAAAAATAATAATAAGCAGACTCATTGATGTGCCTAAAGTATGATATTAGCACGCAGCAGACTCGTCAATATGTTTCCGTTAATTCAGAAAGCATGCCCTGTCTAGCTTGCTGAAGCCGGAGGTATTTTTAACACAAAGCGTTGACCCAGTTGCAGTCCCCGGACAGCTCGAACGCTAAATTTAGAATTATAATCCTTCTAGTTCTCCAGTGTCCGCTTGGTAATTCCCTGCAACCGCTGCACAGACTTATTAAGGCCAGAGGGGGGGGGGGGGGGGGGGGTAAAAGTCGATTTTCCAGTTTTCACATATTTGATTAGAGCTGCTGGAGACGAACAAGAGGAAAAAAACAGGACCGAAATTTGACCTTGCGTTTTTAAGATATCGCGCGCCAAATATTGAGGTTTACATGTAATTACATGTAAAACTTTAACTTAAACTGTAAAAAGTTAAAACGCCCTAAGTTGAGAAGACTGGCCACACCCAGGAGCTGAAACTTGGCACAGGTGTTCCTTAGACTGTTTTACACAATTCTATTGTACAAAATTTTGATATTTGCTTCTGTTCTTGAGATATGAGGTTAACTTTACCCCAAATTCAACAGTTTTTCGACAGTTAACCTCATAACTCAAGAACAGAGGCAAATATCAAAATTTTGTACAATAGAATTGTGGGTGACAACCCAAGGAACACCTGTGCCAAGTTTCAGCTTCTGGGTGTGGCCAGTATTCTCAACTAAGGGACGTTTGTATGAAAAAACCTGTTTTGAGTAAAAAGAGTTTTGGTGTTTTTATTTCACTGCCAAAATCTCAAATTGTGCATTATTTTCCGTATTTAGTAGCGTCTCCATACAATTTTTGCTTTAAGGTGAGAAGATGTTTATTGAGATACTTTATGTTGGGAAAATCAATATCATAAACCAAAATTTGTCTAAAAATGAGGTTAACTATCACGATATTTTGTAGTAGTAGTAAAAATATGATTGTTAACCTCACTATAGACCATATAACAATGGAATTGGTTTATCAATATATTGTTAGACATGTAATGAAACATTTGCCCAGTGTAACAATTAAGATTTTGAGGTTAACATGTGATTGACTGGGCCGATATTCAACAAATGAGAGGTTAACCTCATTTTTTAGCTATTTATGGGTGAACTCTTCTACTTATATATGGTCAGTCCTAATCACCTTTGTCTCATGATCATATTTGAGGCATTGGAATACAAATAGATACATCACTGAGATATTGTGGTACATAACAAAAGTAAGAATCTTGTGTAAATAATTCTTAAACTACCAAATGATATGGTTAACCTCATTTTCAACACTTTCTCGAGATAAAATGAAGTAAATCAGCACTACATCTATTAAGAATTTTGTATGTCGTAATCTTACGATAAAAATAACAACTCTATCACCTAATCTATTTTCGCTATACCTAAATTAAGAGGTTAACCTCATTTAATCACGTTTGGATATTACTTTTTCTGATAATTATGAACCTAAAATTTAGAGTTTACATTTGCTGACCGAAAAAACAAAAAATTATGGAGTGTAATAAAATATTAACCTCAATTTTATTAACCTCAATGTTGTATAATCAATTTTGTGAAAATTGGTTAACCTCAATTATAAAAAAAAGTTAAGCAGCTAAAAATATGTGAATAGCAGCAATGTTTTTGTCATCGAAAATTAAATTGATTTAGAAAATAATATTTTGGTCGATTTTTTTGACCCCTTACCCCCCCCCCCCTCTGGCCTTAAGAGCTGAGATGCTACCTGCAGAGTGCAGACACACATACGCACAAATTGATTTATCCCTGTAACAGGCCAGGGTGCTGGGTCATGTTACCAACGGTACGTGTGAAGTGTGAACTAGTGTGTCCACTGTCCGGCGTACAGGGAATATCACAATTACCCTGTTCAGCTATGATTTCACCATCGTTTGCCGGACGGTGGTATCTATAGCAGTCTTCTGAACAGAGCCCTCCAAAAAGCAAACTATTTCTAGATTGGCTCATGCCCCATATATTAGCTATCTGTATACTCCGTGTTTTAACATTTACACTCTCTCAGAACGAAGAGCGAGCACTAAAGAGGGTGAGAAGGAAAATAAAGAATAAGATTTCAGCAGCTGAGAGCAGGAAGAGAAGGAAGGAGTATATTGGGGGTCTCGAGAGAAGGTTGGATTATAACATAGATTCTCGGGCTTATTTCGAGTTAGATTTTGCAGTGAGCCAAAAGAAGCTGAACACACTCAGGTCAAGATGACTTGGTGTTGTTTATACGTTGAATAAGATTTATGTAATGTTGAGTGTAATAGCTGTTAAATAAACACTGGTTTGTACAACTACATTCTGACCAGTGATATAATATAATTTGTGGAATGTAAACAAACATTCAGGGTAGAGGAGCACACAGTGGTTAACGTCAAGCTGCAGAACACTATTGATGAGCTACAGAAAAGAAACAGGTATTTAAACCTCATTCTGTTTTGACTGTGTTTTTATTGTGTTACTGTGTTTTGACTGTGTTTTCACTGTGATTTCACTGTGTTTTGACTCTGTTTTTATTGTGTTTTTATTGTGTTTTTATTGTGTTACTGTTATTTGTATAATGTAAGTTGGGCCATGTTTTCATGTTAAATATTACAACTTTTCATCAACAAGCCGGGTTGATTTAAACTAATTCACTACAACATGTTATTTTCTTCCTCCATCAGTAAGATAGATTATCAGTATATATAACTATAAGCCGGTATTGATGATAAGTATTGATAATCTGTGTAGGCAATAAAGTGATACTGTAGCGGTATCATAAAGGGGTTCACAGTGGTGTAATCCTCCCTTATTAAAACTTTATAACCTGTCAAAGCTTCAAAGAATTCCTAACTAATGTTGACAAAGCCAGTAACACTAACAATTCTGACAGTTTGCATTTATATATGGACCCATATCCACATAATTAAAAATTTCCTCCCAAACCCATTTTCAGACCCTTCTGTGGCCCGCTCGCTTCGCTCGCTGTGGCTAATCTACTTTTCCAACAGGGGCATGCGCAGGATTTTTAGAAGGGGTGGGCGAGGAGTCGGCGCGACGCGCCGGCTCCGAGGTTACTGCGGCAGGGGCTCGGGGGTGCAGCCCCAGGAAAATTTTAACTGGATTATATGCTAAACCAATAGGATATCAATACAGAAGGTTCAAAACAGTTGATTAGACACTTGGTTATTAGTCATATTTTAAGAGGGCAGGGGGCGCAGCATCCGGAAAATTTTTAACTGGATTATATGATAGACCAATAGGATATCAATAGAGAAGGTTCAAAGTAGTTGATTAGACACTCGGTAATATTTTGGATTCAAAACATTGGACAAATTAAAATTAAAGATGGCACGAATTTTAAGTCATTTAGAGAGGAAACATTTCCTCTCGATACCCAATGATTGAACTGCTCTTTGCGGACGGCAATTGTCAGTCGCTAACTAAGAAATTTCCTCTCAGATGCCAAAAATTTCCTCATTCTTCCCAAATTTCCTCCCAGATATCTGGTGGGTTTGCCAACTTTGTGGATATAGGTATATGGAGGATGGTACCATCTATTATTTCTCATCATGTGCTATTCCATCATGTGACCAACACGTGACTTAATATTAGCTTACACTTACTATCAGCATCAGGCAACTGCCAGATTTTTCTAAAACCTTTCTCTCATCAAATTTGAGAGTCTTGTGACTAATTTGACAAGTATACATTTAATTTTAAGGGCAAATTCAAGTTTTGAAACTATTTTTTAGTAATGTCTGATATTATTGCATCACAAAACCTGCCCCCCATAAAAAGCTTTACAGGGTCAATCTCACCCCTTGATAGTTATAGTCCCCTAAGTCCTAACCACGTCCAGTCAGTGCTAGAGAATATGATTAATATCCACTTTATATAATGTCTTATCTTTAAGATTTATATCCAGTCTGAACCTTGAAGTATGTCTCTTTTCACTTCACTTGGATCGTCGTGCACGAAAGAGCTACCAAAATTATTATTTCAAATATAATCCATTTTAGAATGTCAAACTCCGCATGATGGGTTATCTCCTCTCTAAATTCGGTCTGCGCATTGCTCATGTAGGTCAAAATAACACTTACGTTATCATTTCCACAGCTGCTGCAGAAATTTGAATCTAGGAACCGACGGGGGTTTTGAGACCCCGCATTGTTCATTCCCTAATCTTTTACTTTGTACCGTACAGTTCTTTACCCTGAACTCCTCTCCAGCTACCTAGAACGCATTGTTCGTTCCCTAATCTTTAACTTTGTACCGTACAGTTCTTTACCCTGAACTCCTCTCCAGCTACCTAGAACGTATTGTTCGTTCCCTAATCTTTAACTTTGTACCGTACAGTTCTTTACCCTGAACTCCTCTCCAGCTACCTAGAACGCATTGTTCGTTCCCTAATCTTTAACTTTGTACCGTACAGTTCTTTACCCTGAACTCCTCTCCAGCTACCTAGAACGCATTGTTCGTTCCCTAATCTTTAACTTTGTACCGTACAGTTCTTTACCCTGAACTCCTCTCCAGCTACCTAGAACGCATTGTTCATTCCCTAATATTTTACTTTGTACCGTACAGTTCTTTACCCTGAACTCCTCTCCAGCTACCTAGAACATATTGTTCATTCCCTAATATTTTACTTTGTACCGTACAGTTCTTTACCCTGAACTCCTCTCCAGTTACCTAGAACGTATTGTTCATTCCCTAATATTTTACTTTGTACCGTACAGTTCTTTACCCTGAACTCCTCTCCAGTTACCTAGAACGTATTGTTCATTCCCTAATATTTTACTTTGTACCGTACAGTTCTTTACCCTGAACTCCTCTCCAGTTACCTAGAACGTATTGTTCATTCCCTAATATTTTACTTTGTACCGTACAGTTCTTTACCCTGAACTCCTCTCCAGTTACCTAGAACGTATTGTTCATTCCCTAATATTTTACTTTGTACCGTACAGTTCTTTACCCTGAACTCCTCTCCAGTTACCTAGAACGTATTGTTCATTCCCTAATATTTTACTTTGTACCGTACAGTTCTTTACCCTGAACTCCTCTCCAGTTACCTAGAACGTATTGTTCATTCCCTAATATTTTACTTTGTACCGTACAGTTCTTTACCCTGAACTCCTCTCCAGTTACCTAGAACGCATTGTTCATTCCCTAATCTTTTACTTTGTACCGTACAGTTCTTTACCCTGAACTCCTCTCCAGTTACCTAGAACGTATTGTTCATTCCCTAATATTTTACTTTGTACCGTACAGTTCTTTACCCTGAACTCCTCTCCAGTTACCTAGAACGTATTGTTCATTCCCTAATATTTTACTTTGTACCGTACAGTTCTTTACCCTGAACTCCTCTCCAGTTACCTAGAACGTATTGTTCATTCCCTAATATTTTACTTTGTACCGTACAGTTCTTTACCCTGAACTCCTCTCCAGTTACCTAGAACGTATTGTTCATTCCCTAATATTTTACTTTGTACCGTACAGTTCTTTACCCTGAACTCCTCTCCAGTTACCTAGAACGCATTGTTCATTCCCTAATCTTTTACTTTGTACCGTACAGTTCTTTACCCTGAACTCCTCTCCAGTTACCTAGAACGTATTGTTCATTCCCTAATATTTTACTTTGTACCGTACAGTTCTTTACCCTGAACTCCTCTCCAGTTACCTAGAACGTATTGTTCATTCCCTAATATTTTACTTTGTACCGTACAGTTCTTTACCCTGGACTCCTCTCCAGTTACCTAGAACGTATTGTTCGTTCCCTAATCGTTTACTTTGTACCGTACAGTTCTTTACCCTGAACTCCTCTCCAGTTACCTAGAACGTATTGTTCGTTCCCTAATCGTTTACTTTGTACCGTACAGTTCTTTACCCTGAACTCCTCTCCAGTTACCTAGAACGTATTGTTCATTCCCTAATATTTTACTTTGTACCGTACAGTACTCCTCTCCAGTTACCTAGAACGTATTGTTCATTCCCTAATCTTTTACTTTGTACCGTACAGTTCTTTACCCCGAACTCCTCTCCAGCTACCTAGAACGTATTGTTCATTCCCTAATATTTTACTTTGTACCGTACAGTTCTTTACCCTGAACTCCTCTCCAGTTACCTAGAACGTATTGTTCATTCCCTAATATTTTACTTTGTACCGTACAGTTCTTTACCCTGAACTCCTCTCCAGTTACCTAGAACGTATTGTTCATTCCCTAATATTTTACTTTGTACCGTACAGTTCTTTACCCTGAACTCCTCTCCAGTTACCTAGAACGTATTGTTCATTCCCTAATATTTTACTTTGTACCGTACAGTTCTTTACCCTGAACTCCTCTCCAGTTACCTAGAACGTATTGTTCATTCCCTAATCTTTTACTTTGTACCGTACAGTTCTTTACCCTGAACTCCTCTCCAGTTACCTAGAACATATTGTTCATTCCCTAATATTTTACTTTGTACCGTACAGTTCTTTACCCTGGACTCCTCTCCAGTTACCTAGAACGTATTGTTCATTCCCTAATATTTTACTTTGTACCGTACAGTTCTTTACCCTGAACTCCTCTCCAGCTACCTAGAACGTATTGTTCATTCCCTAATATTTTACTTTGTACCGTACAGTTCTTTACCCTGAACTCCTCTCCAGCTACCTAGAACGTATTGTTCATTCCCTAATATTTTACTTTGTACCGTACAGTTCTTTACCCTGAACTCCTCTCCAGCTACCTAGAACGTATTGTTCATTCCCTAATCTTTTACTTTGTACCGTACAGTTCTTTACCCTGGACTCCTCTCCAGCTACCTAGAACGTATTGTTCATTCCCTAATATTTTACTTTGTACCGTACAGTTCTTTACCCTGAACTCCTCTCCAGCTACCTAGAACGCATTGTTCGTTCCCTAATCTTTTACTTAGTACCGTACATTTCTTTACCCTGAACTCCTCTCCAGCTACCTAGAACGTATTGTTCGTTCCCTAATCTTTAACTTTGTACCGTACAGTTCTTTACCCTGAACTCCTCTCCAGCTACCTAGAACGCATTAAACTTAATCAAATTTTACCTTACTTCATATTAGCATATTTGTGCAGTTCCCATTACTGGGGCGATTATTGCGTGACAAAAACTGCCCCCACAAAAGGCTTAATATGGTTAATCTCACCTCTAGATTTAAGTCCCCATTATCCATTTAACCACGTCCAGTCAGTGCTAGAAAATATGATTAATTTCCACTTTATATTTCTTATCTTTAAGATTTATGTCTCTTTCCACTTCACTTAGATCGTCTTGCCCGAAAAATTCTTATTTTCAAATATTATATAGTTATATGTTCCATTTTAGAATCTCTGACTCCACATGGGTTATCTCCTCTCATTGACCTGCATCGGACTCTGAAATCATTTGGTTCATTTATTTTAAAACAATTCTCGGCGTTTCCTTAACATTTCATGTAGTTTTTTAGGTCAGCAATACCTTATCTTCATCGTTCGACAAAATATTGAGGTCATAACCACACTTTCTTTATTGACTTAGCCTAATTAGGTATCACTGGTAATCCCATAATCCAAGCTGTTATTGCATCAAGATAAGAGCACAGTTTGAAAGGATTTAACATGACATTAACCAATTATACCTGTACAGCCACAATCATGAAAATAATTACGTAATCATGAAAATAATTACACGCGATTGAAGTTAATTATTTTTTCTAATACTAATTATGCCATATTTTCTGATAATATGTACGTTAATAATTCGTCTCCTCAGAGGTTTGATGGAGCAGCTGAAGAAAGCTGTTTGCGCAACCAAGAAGTTCACAGTCGGATCCCAGACCACAACATGCCTCATGGTAATTTCATTAAATCTCATAATTTCACTAAATCTCATAATCCTGTGTGATAATTACAGCCGGAAATTATGGGTCTGGATTAATTCTCCCGGAGAAGTTGTTGTGATGAAGCACGTATCTTGCACAAATATTAGGGAACTGATACCGTAAATGTTTCAAAATGGGACGATTATTTTTGTACGGAATTTAACTGTAATTAATTTCCAGGGTATCCTACTTTCCTTCACATTTTTCCTCTTCCCTCTCTTCTCGTCACCATTCCAGTCAGTCGACACACAAACTACATCAAATATCAGTAAGTTACATTATTAAGGAAGCTTTAGTAATTTTATTATAAACTCTTTTTAAGTCGTAATTAAATAAGTTTCTACTAATGATGTTTTAGGCTGAGGAGTAAGAGGCTTACGAAAACTGCTCAGGTCATTTGCCATACACTTAAAAATAACTGTGACACCATAAGAGCCTACTCCAGTGTTATGTGGATATATTATGTGGATATATTATGTGGGGTTTAATTAACAGACCTCCATAACTTTTCTCACTTCTGGCCACTAAATAAGTTACTTCTGATGTCAAACCGTGCTGGTTTCCTTTATTGTGCAGAGCAATATGTAGACAATGCATCGCCTCCCCCCTGCGTCAATTTAACATACCTATTGAAGGGGTTTTCACCGAGAAAATAAGGCGAAACTTAGTTGAGAAACTGGAGGTGTTCGAGCGAAATTGTAAGCGAAATTGTAAGAATTTCGCCCGGTTTATTTCTCAGAAATGTAAGCGAATGTCACCCCAGTGGCAACATTATCGCCTCGCATGCAGAAGGTCCGAATTCGAATTCAGTCTCAAGCACTATTTTTCATCTGAACTGTAACAACGTATTGCAGAAATCTAATTACTTATATTTGATCCATGTCGGTAAATTGCTTACCTGAACTATGAAAACTTATCTCTTCAATATTTGACTGCCAAACAATTCTTATCAGCGCCAAAATCTCATCAAACTGCAGGTGAGAGGTGTTCCTGCGAAATTGTAACATTTGCGCACGGACCTAACTTTTGCGCCATTTTGTATCTGAACTGTGGCGACATTCGCTTACATAACAATTCGCTTACATAACAATTCTGAGAAGAAAACATCTACTGGAAACTCAGAAACTGGGCGGGGTTTGTTTGTACAGTAACGCGCGATGACTCAGATGTTAACGAATTTCCACGGTGTTACCCAGATGTTTTTATTTTGGGAAATTTCCGCGCGCGCATAATGTGGACGTGGACAATCACATGGCCGGCCGCAGAAACTACTATTAGATCACCGCTTATCGGACAGTGATAATAATATTATGTTCATGTCGTAATGCTCAATGTGGCATGTTGCCATGCTAACATTTGTTAACAAACGCACACGCTGTGCACAGAGCTGAGGATAATTCCATATCGACTTTAAAACTTTTGCATTCGATTTAATGTATCCCAATGTGCACTGGATATAAAATGTAAAATAAATTTTACATTTTCCTCACCTAATACTAACTATGATTAACCCAAACTGTAAGCTGGAGCGTGATTTAACATACAATCTTTCAGTTCCTGGCAGAAGTCTGCTATCAATCTCAGACACGCCGAAGGCCTCCTTTATTGAGATAATAGTAGACTACATCGTTGAAAAATTGGACAACACAATGGATATCTATACCTCTACCTCCGAGACCGTGTTTATCAACAACGACACGCTGTTTCTAACTTGAAGTTTTCAAACGATTTATAGAGACTGATATTTTGTTGTTTTGTCGATAGAATCATATTCATAACATTTTTACAGATCATTCAACTCGGTGCGCGGTAAAACAGCATTGTAGTTGTACAGCATTGTCATAATGTATGCCACTATCCGCATATTTTGATGATAATTTCAGTCATTTGTACCATGGAGCTGTTTATTGATGACCGCTGTTATTGATGACCGTTGTTGTTTTTGATTGAAATTATATGAAAATCCATTTCACCAGCCTATTTGAAATTCGCTAATTTCGAAAATTTCTTTTAAATTATTTTCTTGTAAAGCATGTATAAACGTAGGGATTCTTATTTTTCTCAAATTTACAAGATTGTCTCCATTTTTATTTTACTTCCCGAATTTCCACCAAACAAAATTAGTTTTCATTTAATATTACTATTATTATTAATATACGGGATACCCCCGAAATTACCATTAAAATTTAATCATGCAACATATAAATGGTTTCACAAAATGAAAGAATACGATTTCGTTGTTGTATAAAATTTTATGATTCAGCCAGTACACGTGAGCAAACAAATAAAACAAATATCAATTCCACTTCACGGGGCGTGATGTCCGTTAATAACGTGCAAGCTGCGTCAGCTCCCTGTCCGTTTGGACGCGTATCATCCGTCAATGCTTGATCTCGTTCCCAAAGCTCGACAATTTGCTGCAGCCGCGACATTTTGCCGAAATTCACAATCGTATTAAAGTAAATGTTATCAAAATAGAATTAGATGTAAATTCGTACTTTCTTCAACTAACAAAAATGTAGTGTAATTTAAATAAAAATTAACATAAAAATAAAGAAAGTATTGCAAGAAAGAAGCTGAGCAGATAATATAATATCTATAAAGGCACCTTGTCCCGGCGGCTCAACCATCTAACAAATTGACTACAACTAAAACACACACACGTTGATATATAATATAATGGGCGCAACACTTATAATAAGTTCCGGGAGTAACGGTGGGGGCTCGGTTAAATGTCTCAGCACACTCCCCACTGAATGATGGACTGGTCTCGACCTCCGAGTGAGAATATCTCCTTGTCTCCGAGGAGGAAACGAACTTTAGTCACGTGAGCACTGTGACCACGGAAACTCGACCACTCAGCCTGGGAGAGGGGTTGGTTAGTTTAGTAATGGTAACACTGAACAATGTTGTATGCAGTGAGATTGAACATACACGCTTTACCATGCAACTATTGAGAGTAACGTTGTAGGCTTCTGGGATCCATTTATTATATTTAACGAAAACAGAATCTTTCGTACAAATCCGAGAAAGTTTATACCGTGGGGTTGCAGCAGGGGAATCTAAAGAGGTTGACGAGACCGAAATCGTCAGCAGTAACAACCAGCTTGTCGTTGTGGGATCTACACAAAGCATTGATATCCGTACCATCGTATCCAACCGGCCAAATTCCTGGTAGTAGAGAATACTTCAGTGTTGTCAAATAGAATAAACATTGAAGGCTGTGATCTCAGTTGACCGTTTAATTGACAACATCATTAAGTTATTGAGATGGCTTCGACTAATTCATGAAGGTAAAATAGGTGTTAAATTGTGTAAATATATTGTGTTCATTACACGCCAATAACAATGAATTATTACAAGAACAAAAAAGGAAAGGAATGATATAATATGCGACATCTAAGGACGCGAGGAGAGTAAGGACTCCTCGGACTACATAAAATAAATATATCGCTTCTGTAACGTCATCAATATTAATAAATGTAATAGATTTGTAAATTGTAGTGTTGTAAGGAGTCATACCACAGACGGGGAAGCCGAGAGTACAAGTGTAGCTGGACATGTTCACGTCTCTCATGTCCTTCGTGCTGGTGATTTGGTCCCCACTTGTAGCATCCCAAAACAGGTGCTCGTAATCACCGGACGTTGTCTGCAGTACCTGCACCACATATTTGATAAGGAGGGGTGACTTGGTGAGGGGTACAGCTAATATGTGGTTATTTCTATACTTTTGTAAGATGTCTAGACGTTGGTTGTGATATTAGAAAGAAGTCTCAGTTTTAGTGGACAAGTGAAAGTGCGATTTAAAAATTTGATATCCAAATAAACATCTTGGATTTGTGCCGAAAAGAAACGTACCTTTCCGTCATCAGAAAAGTCAAGATGAGTGATGAAGGAGGAGTGTCCGGCACACTTTCCGATGGCCTTGTACTCCGCCCTTATGTCGCCGCACTCAAACAGGTACACGTAGTTGTCGTGTGACCCAACTGCTATGCTCTTCCCATCTGCAGTTAAAATCGGCGATATTAATTGTTCCTCGATATACTATGTTATCGGAATACTACAGGGGGGGGGGGAGGGGGCAAAGTCAGTACCCCTATGTTGGGTCTTATACCACCTCCGTGTTTCATATTTGAGACCTGTAACTTTGCAGATGGTATACTGTCACTACTCATTCGAGGATTCCGTCACCAACATTTTAAAATTCGGTTTTTAGGGGCAACACCCAATCAACATTTAATTGCTTATACACGTATTTGCGAACATGCTAGAAAATTTATTGTAACATATTGCAATAGGTCATTAAATCCGGAATATAATCTGAAAATATGGTGCGAAACGGATTTAAAATGACGAAGTTATCAAGCAATTTGTTTATCTCGTTAGAAAAATCGATTTGGTAATCAATGATTACCTAATCACTAATCTAGTACAGACAAGACAGATCCGTCTGAAAAAATCGATCTGCCGACACACAAAGCTTACAAAGAATTTTTTGACGTTTTTGAGTCCTAATAGGTGTCCTCCATGGCTGACCAACTTTTTCAAACTTTTCCACGTGTCTTAAGGCCACTTTTTGCCACTTTACCACTTTTTACCACCTTTCTTGTTTGTCAAATATCTTTAGTTGTGAACATCGTAGAAAGTTGTATATTAATCGAGGGTGTTTATATTATCAGGAAGAAAAACTTTTGTAAGGACAATTTTTACCTTAGATAATCAATTAATTGGATAAATATCAATTAACTAATTAGCAAAAATTTAACATTTTTTTATTGGTTCAAAATGATTGGAATAGCTTTAAACACGGAGAAAAGTAGTTTTTAAGAAAAACTTCGAAAATTTTTAAAAAATATTTCGAATTTATCAAATTGCATGAAACGTGGATAAAAATGCTTTTTAAAAAAACTTAGTGAATTTTTATTTTTTATATATCTGGTGATTATGTGCTTATGTATCTAGCTTGATGTTATAGCTTTATAGGAGCATTTAAAATGTTGACTTCATAATTACAATATGACTTTTTTTGCTAGTTTCCGTCAAATTAGTCGCCTAGCACAAACAATATACTCACTAGTCCCTAATACAGACGGTACACTTTAACACTGCTCAACATACTTGACTTTTATCAACTCTAATCTCGATTCCTTGCGCCAGATATATACACAATTTCAACTCTTAGACCACGGAAAAATGTATCTCTGAACCAAGTTAATTTTATAAAAGCCAAAATGTCTCCAAATGTGACCACCATAGTGTATATGTGTAACTTCTAACCTGGACTATAGCTCATAGCATCAATCTGTTCCGGTCCGGATTTGTAGGAGGAGAGAACGAGGCCGTTCTTGCTGTCCAAAACCCACCATTCCCCTGTTGTACTGGCAACAGCTAACACACTTCCTGGAATAATAGTAAAGTTGAGACGGAAATCGAATGTAGTTAGTAGTTTGATGTGTATTTTATTTTGATGACGAAATCATTTTTTTTTCAACGGGTCCTATTCAACGAAATCTCTATTATCGAAATCTACGCGCCAACAATTATAACACCCTGCTGTAGAATTGCCTGGCCTACAATTTAACCCAAATCAGATCATTGGATAAGTTCTCACCATCAGGAGAGAAGCAGCAAGCTTGGGCAGGTTTCTCAACTTTGAACACTTGTTTGGGAGTGTGGCTTTCTGCATCCCAGATGTACACGACCTTGTCCTGACCTACTGTAGCGAATGAGTTCTCCAGTGGGTGGTTCGCTCCTCCCCACAAGTCTCCTGCTCCATGACCCTGAGATAATTGTTAGTCAGCTAATGGATCAGGCGATTCAGTACTCTACTTTGAAAGGAAGCTTCCGGACGTTAAAAATTCCCTGTTTCGTGACACTGGTTAGTAGTACAGACAGATCCGTCTAAAAAAATCGATCTGCTGACACTCAAAGCTTTCAGAGGTTTTTTGACGTTTTTGAGTGCCATTAGGTGCCCTTTATGGCTGACCAAATTTTCCAAACTTTTCAACTTGTCTTAAGGCCACTTTTTGCCACTTTACCACTTTTTACCACCTTTTTTGTTTGTCGGATATCTTTAGTTGTGAACATCGTAAAAGGTTGCGGATCAATCAAGTGTGTTCATATTATCAGGAAGAAAAACTTTTGTTCAAACAAATTTTACGTCAGATAATAAGTTAATTGGATAATTATCAATTAACTAATTAGCAAAATTCTAAAAAATTTTTATTGGCTAAAAATGATCGGAATAGCTTAAAACACGGAGAAAAGTAGTTTTTAGAAAAAATTTTAAAATTTTTCACTTACATTTTTTTTTCGAGACTTAGAAAAAATTTCGAAAATTAAAAAAAAATTTTCCGCCAAAAGTGATCAAATCGCATGAAACACGGATAAAAATGCCTTTCTAAAAAACGTAGTGAATTTTTCGTTTCAAGAATACTTGTAGTTGGAGTTCAGTAAATCTCGGCAGATTTTAGTAATCAGGAATTAGTATTACTAAGTGAAGAGGTCTGAAACTGAAAAACGTTAACCATACGATCGCGCGGCGATATAAGAGTTTCATAAACTAATTTTCACAGAAACTGCACCAATGGCACAGTCAAGATCGAAACGATAGCCTGCTGTACTGTCATTTTATTGATTTCAATGATGAATCAGTGGGGTTAAGATAATCACATTTGTAATAAAATATAAATAAAACATCTCTGTACCGTCAATTGTGCTAGTCTAAACCAGCCTACCTGTATTACCAGACCTCTTCTTTTCCTCGACAATCAAACCAAGTTGCTCATATCGCATTTGGTGGGTGATGTAAGTAGTAATACATATCGAGCTGTATTCAATCACAAAACGACACAATGCAATACGTGTATATTATATTATGGCCCTTAATGAGGTATATGAAACGTTCTATATCGTACACTTCTCGTTTCTCCCGTGAGAGGCCCAGTATGGAGAGGTTTTACAGTTTATCACGAAAACGTCTACTTGGCCTCATGGCTCAAAGAAGGCAAGAAAAGACCAGAAAGCTTTCAACTCGCTCTTTTCAATGCCCGTCCATCTGTCCCACATTAATCCTGAGCTGATCATCATAGCCCCGAATATCCTACGGGAAGAACCTGTATTTTTACCTCACGACGTCCGGATTTCAAATCAACAACCTCAATAACATTTACAATCCTTCCTGATCAGAATCTGTCTCTATTAGCAATTTCCAAAATATCCTGACTCTCGTGGAATATTTCACTGAATTAACTATTACCGGTTCTTTACTACCCCTTGCCCGTCACTCGTATCTACATCTTACCCTTGCCAGTATGTTACCCTTGCTGATTTTACGTTTAGCCGACCCTGACATATGGGGGTGATTTGAGGTATCCAGCATAGCAAATGAAGCGGTATGCAGAACAATACAAAACAAGTCACAGTTGATGTTGGAAGGTGTATTTACACTTGCTTTCTGGACCTGGCTGTTCCTTAGTTTCCTTGATCTGTTCTTGCCTTCTTCGAACTGTAAATGAGCCATGTAATGAGGCCAAGTATACTTTTTCGTGATAAACTTTAAAACGTCTCTATACCGGGTTTCTCATTAAGAGCCATATTATACACGTATTGTGTCGTATTCTGATTGAATACAGCTCGTTATGTATAAGTTTCAATACCTACAACACTACTATATAACAAATAATTTGAATGACAGGATGGATTACTGAGGGCACTGTGTTAAGGTGATTTGAATGACAGGATGGATTACCGAGGGCACTGTGTTAAGGTGATTTAAGTGGGTCCCAATCCCCACCGACCATTCTTCTTTGTGTCATGAATACTTGCTTCATCATCTCCTTTTAATAAAAATCACGGTGTCTTTATTGACTAAGCGCATTACTACTTACATCACCCACCAAATGCGATATGAGCAACTTGGTTTGATTGTCGAGGAAAAGAAGAGGTCTGGTAATACAGGTAGGCTGGTTTAGACTAGCACAATTGACGGTACAGAGATGTTTTATTTATATTTTATTACAAATGTGATTATCTTAACCCCACTGATTCATCATTGAAATCAATAAAATGACAGTACAGCAGGCTATCGTTTCGATCTTGACTGTGCCATTGGTGCAGTTTCTGTGAAAATTAGTTTATGAAACTCTTATATCGCCGCGCGATCGTATGGTTAACGTTTTTCAGTTTCAGACCTCTTCACTTAGTAATACTATTACTAATTCCTGATTACTAAAATCTGCCGAGATTTACTGAACTCCAACTACAAATATTGGCGATTTAAGTATTCTTGAAACGAAAAATTCACTACGTTTTTTAGAAAGGCATTTTTATCCGTGTTTCATGCGATTTGATCACTTTTGGCGGAAATTTTTTTTTTAATTTTCGAAATTTTTTTAAGTCTCGAAAAAAAAATGTAAGTGAAAAATTTTAAAATTTTTTCTAAAAACTACTTTTCTCCGTGTTTTAAGCTATTCCGATCATTTTTAGCCAATAAAAATTTTTTAGAATTTTGCTAATTAGTTAATTGATAATTATCCAATTAACTCATTATCTGACGTAAAAATTGTTTGAACAAAAGTTTTTCTTCCTGATAATATGAACACACTTGATTGATCCGCAACCTTTTACGATGTTCACAACTAAAGATATTCGACAAACAAAAAAGGTGGTAAAAAGTGGTAAAGTGGCAAAAAGTGGCCTTAAGACAAGTGGAAAAGTTTGGAAAAGTTGGTCAGCCATAAAGGGCACCTAATGGGACTCAAAAACGTCAAAAAACCTCTGAAAGCTTTGAGTGTCAGCAGATCGATTTTTTTAGACGGATCTGTCTGTACTATAGCTTTTGATCGAAAATATCAAAATCTTTATATATTTCGGTTATTATGCCGATTAAAGGTTGCTCACATAAATGATCTGCTCAGGAGCATCGCCGAACTTTCCGTACAACATGCCGTTATTGTAGGTGCCGACAGCCAGATCTTCGCCAACAAACGCAATGGCTCTCACTCGCCCATGGGTAGCGGAGTCCAGCTGCCAAGAATCTACCTCCGCAAGGTCGCTACAGCTGAATTTCTTGACTTTGCAGTCCTGACCACCGGTGTAGATTTCGTCCCCTTTCACTGCGACAGAGTAAACAGATCCCTGAATGAGATAGATTTAGCTTGTACAGGATCCTTTATGCAACTATTCTAGATACTTATTTCAAGGCTATGATATCGTCAGAAGACCTTTTTAGTACAGTCAAATCCGTCCTGATTTAAGCCTTTGTCGGACAAAATTCGCAATAAAGCGATATTTCAAATCGCGATGATATGCATGTTTTTTTCGATCAATTTTGTCGTGATGCGCGCACGCGCGTAACGGACGTACGTACGTGCGCTGCGTGCGATATATAGCTAGATCGAATTCGTCAAAGTATCCTAGACAAACTTTCTCCGCGCGTTCCAGTGAACATGTGCGCTTTACAGCGACAAAATGGGCCACAATCCCTGGGCTTCTCATTAATTATGACGGAAAAGATAGGTAACATGTGAATTTCATACCTCATGAGCACCGACTTTCTGCTTGCTTATCTTCCTCTCATCTGAAGAAAAAATATGTAAAATTTCTGAACCCTGGCCTAAGGTTACCCGGAAAATATGATAAGTATTAAGTAAGTCATCGAAGTATCTAAGACTAGAAATAATATCATTGAAACAAGGTGTATGATCAATATGATAAGGACTGTTTCTGAAAATCTAATTTATAGGGTAATGAGTCTAAAATAGAGGGCAGTGATTGGATAATGAGTTTCAAATAGAGGGCAGTGATTGGTTAAAAATCTAGATTAACTCACTAGGATTCCAGAGGAAGAGATTTCCGTTACTATCTCCTGTTATTGGCTCTCCTGCGGCAGTGAATGCCAGAGCGGTGATAAAACGCGGTTTGGGGTGTTTCTGAAATAAACGTTTATTAATTAAATTAATTAAAAGACAAGAACTGTTATTTAATGGGTAAATTTATTGAAATAGAGTATGTTTAAGTACAGTTTTTAGAGATAAAACTTGTATTTTTGCACAAAGATGTGTATTTTTAACAGTACATAAAATTATGTTATGTAAATTTTGTATTTTGTTACTCCTTAGCTTGACTAAATACTTTCTCATGAGTCATGTAAACTCTTTATTGCTAGGATCATTGTACAATCTGTGTACTTTTCCTTTGTGGAGGTGTTATGCAAATGTTAGGTATTCGCATTTTAACGCCTGGGAATATAACACATCTTATTTCAAAGGGATTTCAAATACCATATTTTATGAAAACAGTTACAGTATCACTTTTGTACTTTTACATATTATAGAATGAAATATCTAGACTCTTGGCCTTCATAAGATATATTATACTATATTATAACACAGTAAAGACTTATCCTTGACCAGTTGAAGACCAGAGCAGTTATTTACCAGAATTAGAAAAGATAACACACAGAAATTTTTTTTATTGAAATCTTTCAAATCAGTCAATTACATACAAGTTTACACAATGAATTAGTTAAATATAATATTGTCCTCTAAGCATGGATTGTCAAAGTTGAAATTGTCTCGGACAAAATGTATGTAACCAAAGGACCTGAGGGTCACCAAAACACAGATATTGAGTGCAAATGCAGCTCCTGCACAAGCATGGGCCCTTATAAAATTGTAATAAGTTACTTTAAACAAAATCACACACCCATTCAATCAATTCATAAAATATTGTGCTGTGAGATGAAATTGAGAAATATGTGAATGCAGACAGCAAGAATAGATAATCTTGAATAAACTATTTTACGGATTTGTTTCTATTGAATAGTCAAGTTCAGAGTCCGAATCCACCGGGATAATTTTCCCCCACATGTAAGTGGAAAGTTTACTTTTAAAATCAGTGATACTCTCTATCTCACGGATATCTAGAGGAATGTGATTCCACTTAGTGTGGGTCCTATAGAAGAAATTCTTGGCAAAAGCGTTGGAGCTTGCTCGAGGTGAGATAGAGCTTACAAAACATAGAGAGTCCATGTGACTATTTCTGAGCCTTGAGTGGCCTTGAAATGGTTGCAAATATGAGGGTAAAGTGACAGGTATATGTTGCTTCACAATTTTAAAGAAGAAGATGAGATCCAAGAAGTCAAAGCGGTCTTCAATCGGCATAATCTTCAGCTGTCTGCATTTTTGAATGTATGTGGATGGTGGATAACTCATATACTCCTCGTGAAGAATCCACTTAATAGCACGCTTTTGGAGGCCCTCCAGCTTGCTTATCTGGGATTTTGTGACTGGTCTCCATATAACCGAGCAATGCTCAAATAGGCTCCTCACTAAAGTGAGATACAGTACTCTACGACGATTTACGTCTTGGACAAAATAACAATTTCTTCTCGCCATGCCTAATTTTTGGTTTGCCTTAGAAAGGACTTTGGAGCACTGATCTTTCCAATCGAGATTTGATGTCACAATTACACCCAGATCCTTTTCATGATCAACATAGTCAAGTGTGATTCTTCCCATGGAGTATACAGTATAATAAATAAATAAATAAATAAAGTCAATTTTTACAGCACAGCAATATATACAGAATTCATTTGGTGGACCAAAGTAACTTCAGAGTATTCTCGATAGTAGTACATAATGAGTAATCATTATTATAGGAAATTTGTATGACAGGAACAAAGATGAATGTAAACATAAACAGTATACTGTTCCGGTTTTAGCTAAAGTTCCTGGAAATCACATCCTCCTTTCAAATACTGCTTTAAGTTTTATTCATCATTGCAACTGACTGATATCTTGGTCATTAGTCATTGCAAGATTGCTATCCAAGCCATCATAATAATTATCACGTCTTCCACAGTATTTTTACACAATGTTTTGGCTGCCACAACTGTACATGACTTTGTGGGAACGTCTCGTGTGTTATTTACTCCACTTCACGTCTCATAAACGATGTTTAAAGTGGAAAAGCGTCAAGTTGCATATTCACCATGTCATGCATAACATGCATAAATCGCCTGAAGAGCTTCACAAATAAATGATCGAGGGACAGGGGGACATGTAATGTTTTCATAATACATGACGGTTAAGCAAAACTCAGGAATGCTGCATCAAGAATAACCATGAATCATCATTACTAAAAACACGTGTTTAAAGCCTTCATTGTTTAATGTTTAACCTTGGTGAACACTGAAGCTGAACAGTAATTTATCGTTAATGATTTCACTGAAAAAAAGGTCACCGTTGAAAGGCGTGATAATCTACTACTGTGTAGTGTCTTCAAATCACTCTTTTTTTGCCAATTAGAAGATAATATGAAATTGGAATAACTCCAAGCCGAGGAACTTTTTATTGTCTTGTGTAACTGTTATGTAGCTGAAGGTAATATTACTATCTTTGATAACGGAAAATAATTTAGAAGGAAACAAAGACATTGGGAAAGTTAAAGAACAGGAATCTCAAGAAGTTACCTTGTTTTGGGAAGAGGTATGCCTCAAAATATAATCTTTAAATTTGGGAATTTATAAAATTCTAATATTCCGTTCTGGAAGAATATTCTACAAATCGTAGAACATTGAAGAACATTCAGCTATTAAAATAGAAACCATACCACAAAGTAAGGGAATGATCTACATTACGGCGTGCTGGCGTTTTAGGGGTTTTAAAGCCTATATTTTGCTTGATTTGTCGTTTATTTTTATCTTGGATTGTTTAAAACCTGTTTTGATGACATGCATCATAATTTTAATTTTTGTGTGCTTGTCTCATATTTTACCGATTTTGTAACATAATTGTAAGATACAATTACTATCTCAACGATGCAAGCAACATTGTGTTGATCACTTTTAGCAAACAGAAATAGAACATTCTTATAATTCCAAAAACAAAACATCATTCCTTACTTAGATCATTCTATCCGTCTTTAAACAATGTCACAGTTCAAGAGAATCCAGCTAACCCAACAAAAGGTTTAAATCATGCCAGAAAGGAAACCCTTTAAGTTAACAACGACAGCACGCAGGACTAGGAGTCAGGGCAGAGCAGATGGAAGGAGTGAGGAATTTGGGGAATCTTAGGCATTCACCGGGGAGTTATTGAGCCGGTATAATGCGACCTTGTCTGACGACCACAGTGCTAGAATGGCAGCCAATCGTTCCTATATAACGTATAGTACCGCAGTCAAATCGAATAGGAATATTTCTTACTAAAATTTAGGTTTGGCATTTAATATTAACACAAATTTGAGTCAATGGATAGATCAAAAATATAATTTTCCCCCTACCTCAAATCGATTACCGGAAAGAAGCCCAGGAATACTTCAGATTCCTCCATCATAGCCTCAGACTGAGACAAGTATTACATACACGTTAACAGTGATAAGTTGGTCCGAGCTTCTAGAACAACATTATATCCACAGTACGTTTACAGAGGGCTATACTGTTATCAAGTCTACAGTACCTGGGACACACAGCATACAGGCTACATCATTCTACGCGCCAATCCGGCCGTTAATCGCCATACTTGCAGCAATAAGTGTGTCAAATGTATGTAATGTACGAGAATGCACGCTGCATACATTCCACGAGAACAGCTGAACTGTTAAGTAGAAAGTTGAGTCGTAGAGAGTAATTTAAAAAATACATAATGTGATTGCCATCGCTATATAATTTCATTCATACATTGGTCCATGGTTAATATCACATCATGTCCATTATCACGTACTTTAACCTCTCAAAAGTACCCACTTTTCAAGATACTGGTACTCAAACTACTCATCCCGATAATTTTAGTTACGATTAACAATCAACATCACTCTAAGGTGTGTTCAGACTACCTTGAATTACATTTTAGCTTATTTCTAAGTGTATTTCACTGCTCACATCAAAAATATGTTTAACGAATTGAATAAGGAATAATGATTACATTGACAACATTCCCGCGCTTTTAATCAGTACAGCGGGAGGGTTTCCGTTCATTTAAACTTAATAGGCACTTGCACTGTAGCGTAGGTACTGAACTTAATAGGCACTGTAGGCATTGAACTTAATAAGTTCTGTAGGCATTGAACTTAATAGGTTCTGTAGGCATTGAACTAAATAGGTTCTGTAGGCACTAAACTTAATAGGTAATGTAGGCATTGAACTTAATAGGTACTGTAGTGAGTGTAGGCACTAGGCATTGAACTTAATAGGTACTGTAGGTACTAACAGTTCACGTGCCTCAGTAAATTATCCAATTAATCTATTTCTAGCTTTCTGTAGACTACAGTGATAGATGAATTTAATTATAATCCTGGTATTTGGTTATAACATAAGAGCAGTATTTGGAGTACAACAGATCCAGATCTGGTTTTAGGCCCTGCGGGTCTAGCGAATAAGTCCCGGTTTGTAAACTCCATTGTTGGGTACAGTAAATATATAATTATATTATAAATACAAGGCGTCGTAATGACAACTATTGATTGGGATCACTGAGCAAAGAAGTAATTATGAGGCATAAAAGTTACTATGATAATAATAATTAAGCATAATTATCCAGTCCTTTATTAGGCAGGAAATAATGAGCCTGGAGTTTACATCGGTATCAAGGCTTCATGCAATTGTCATAGTTGTCAAAATAAATCCATGATACACCAATTATCAGGCAATAAATTTCGATATCTAAGTATTTCAGTAATATAAAGGTACCAAATATTACAACGATCTACCTGGTGAATTGGTAGCCATATAATTCACAAAGCTTAGGTTTAGGAACCTGTACCTAAACACCGCATTATGACCAAAACATGAAATGGTTTACCGTTATATTTTAGTTTACTAAATCTAAGGCCAGACAAGCAGTAAATGGAAAATGACGTCGTTATTTTACATTTTAAAAGTTTAATGTAAGTTAGAATATGCGAACAGAACAAAGGCTCACATTTCAATACTTCTCCTGTGCTCCAAAAAAGGAAGGTCGCCATGAACATGGTGTTGTGAATAAAGTTAAAGCAAGTAAGGAGTGAAATAAATGTAACATCACGTGACCATGAAGGAAGACACGGGTGATATAGCTCCGAGTGATATCAGCGTCCACCATTATCTGACAGCATGGTTTGTTGGTGCCCATAATATGGAGACTGCGTCTCATGGAGACTACCCAGAATATGGGGGTCCACCTTTATAGCCAACATCTAATGGGGTCCCTCTGCAGTGGCAGGGACTGGGCAGATAACTATGTTCTGAACTTCTGATAGCACCACAACTACAGTAACCATAACTACCATAACTACCATAACTACCACAACTACAGTAACCATAACTACCATAACTACCACAACTACCACAACTACAGTAACCATAACTACCATAACTACCACAACTACCACAACTACAGTAACCATAACTACCATAACTACCATAACTACAGTAACTACAGTAACCATAACTACCATAACTACCACAACTACAGTAACCATAACTACCATAACTACCACAACTACCACAACTACAGTAACCATAACTACCATAACTACCACAACTACCACAACTACAGTAACCATAACTACCATAACTACCATAACTACAGTAACCATAACTACCATAACTACCACAACTACCACAACTACAGTAACCATAACTACCATAACTACCACAACTACCACAACTACAGTAACCATAACTACCATAACTACCACAACTACCACAACTACAGTAACCATAACTACCATAACTACCACAACTACCACAACTACAGTAACCATAACTACCATAACTACCACAACTACCACAACTACAGTAACCATAACTACCATAACTACCACAACTACCACAACTACAGTAACCATAACTACCATACCTACCACAACTACCACAACTACAGTTCAAACAGAACAGAAATTGGTAAATCACCACCATATCATGACCAAATTGAACATGTAAGGTCCGTGTTAAGTGTACAAAATATAGACAGTATATTATGGTAACCAAATGCCCACATAATTCCAATATATTATTATGTTCATCCTATATATATAATGTTACAATTTCATCTGCACCAAATGTGATTTTGAGTTAGTAGATGGTCAATAATTATTGCTCTTATATTTTTGGCTGTACCCAATTCTGTGTTAATAACCGACAGGTGCTGCAGTGGTCGTGTACCGCGACCGGTAATATATAATTAGTCAAATAATGGACGTGTATTTTAGATTGTATACCAGCGATTTGATCTCCACAAAGGAACGTAATACGAGAACTTACACGCATATTCCATTACACGCTGTTGGTGGGTTATGGTCGACGCAAGTTTTAGTTGTGTTCATTAGAATGATAATATTATATTGTAAAGCAAGAGTTGACGTAGACAAAGTTGTGGTTAGTGATTGTTTTGCGTGTGTAAGGGGCAATATATTATTATGGGGTTGTTACATAACATATTATATTATGCACATAATATAATGTTGGAATATATACATGGAGTAATTATCTAACGAAATTTAACGTCAATTCGAAGTTGACTTGTATGTTACTCAGCAAAGTAAGTCATAATTCATATTCGATCGATCATTTGCTGAGATATTATCTAAATTAATTTCCGAACGTATTTAATCAAAGAACGAATCAAACTCTTAATTAATTTTAAAGATATAAGGCTGGTTTGTGACAATACTTTGACAAATGCAATGGAAGTAAATTGAAGTAAATTAAAGTAAATTAAAGTAAATTAAAGTAAATTAAAGTAAATTAAAGTAAATTAAAGTAAATTAAAGTAAATTAAAGTAAATTAAAGTAAATTAAAGTAAATTAAATTAAAGTAAATTAAAGTAAATTAAAGTAAATTAAAGTAAATTAAAGTAAATTAAAGTAAATTAAAGTGACCTCACCTCAAAAAGCCCAGATTTCTTGACGAGTTTATTGCCATCTTGTTCCCAGAAGATTATGTGTCCTTTACCGTACGTGATAAACTTGTTGTTCTGGCCTGGTATGTACTCCGCTCCCAGCACTGGATCTTGGTGTCCCTGGGGAGCAAAAAATTTGGTTTAACATATTATACATAATATTTGAAAAATGTGGTTAAATATTTGTATAAAGGAATTATCACGAAGTCATTAAAAACAATTTTAGATCCGGAAGAAATAGACTTTCTTATATGAATAGTAGACTTTTGGATGTTTCTAGCAACTAATAATCAATAATTATCTTACGAAAGACGAAGGGCCTTTTATTTGATGTGGCCGACTGAGTTTACTATAATTAATGTGCTATGGCAGTAGTTCGACTTAATTTTGTGCGTCTTAAGAAGTTTGTCTTTATCCAGTTATAGATTATAAACAATAGAAATTTACGTTAGTAAATATCTGTGGGGACTAATTAATTCTCGCTAGATAATATATTATTTTATATGTTATAGACTTATGACTACACCCTACTATAATTATAATATTATATTATAATGAAAATAGAATTACCTTATTCGTCCTAATTCTCCTACCCTAATTTGGCCGGCGCGGCCTGGCCATAGGAGCCAAATTTCGCCAAATTGGCCGATAAGGTAATAATATGATAAGTAATCGATTATAAGTGTATTAAAACAAACTGCCTGCATCATTTTACACAAAATTATAACATTATAATAAAAGGCTAGTCTCTCACCAGCTGGTGTCATATATATAAACTAAATTGTGATGCACTGAGAAGTTGGTCAAAAGTGTTGATAAAATTATCCGATATCAGCCTATCAGGTAACGAACACGAATTTATTTTATCTACAGCTCATTTTTAACACCGTAGAAGTGAGGCGTAATGTCTACTCAGGGGGTATGTATAAATTAGGAATATCAACGTGAGAAGAGCCTGCACGGAATATAGCAGTTTCAGTTCCTTATTTTATTTGACACGAACACATTCTCTGCTTTAGTACGGCTCACATATCTCGAATATCTAACATATTTCACATATAATCAGCACGGTGCATATCTTACAGCACAACTCTGTGTCAAAATATGTTGTATCTATATACTGTTACCTAAATGTAATGAATATCTCACTTTCTCACTCACATGACATATTGTGATCAGGGGGAATACGATAATAAGTACACTTAATCTTTAGCACGCTCTTAGGTACCTTACAGTATAAGATGTGAGGACTAGAGTGAAAGTGAAAGTGAAAGTGAAAGGTACCTTCTGGCTGGCGACAGAAACTTTTTTCTTGATGTCGTAGATAAAGATGGTATGGTCGTTACCTTCGTCTACAGCCAGCACTTTACTGCCGTCCTGAATAAAGTCAGTATTAATAACAAGTTAATTTTACCAGTTTATCTTTTAAAATGGAATTGGAATGATTAATAGTTTCTTGAGTCAAAGTTTTAAAGATAACATGATCGAAGTTTTCTTTAAATAGATCTGAGAGATGGATCTAGCAGTGTAAATCAGAATATTCTCAATTATATATGTTTCCACAACCTTCCTCCAATAATTTGAATGTTCTCCCACGATAACCGTGACTAATCTAGAAAACTTAAGATCAATAGCGATGCATCCCAATAAGATTATTTATAAATCAAATCAAGAAACAATGTCTCTTGTCTGCACGATAAAATCAGGTCGGTACTTTTTAATCGGGTCCTAAAAATGTAACTGCTTGCGGAGACGGATCCAGTGCATGCAAATCCACACAGTAACCTGGGAACCCATTAGTCTAGCAGTATCTATATTTCGATGGAGCGTAATTTTGTAATTACAGATCTATATCGAGAATTACAGATCTATATCAAGAAGCCCGGGGTCCGAGCTGAATGCATTGTGTGTAATATGCGAAGCAGAGATGCTGAATATTTTACATTTTATGGAGCTAGACTTAGTGAGTTTCCAGTTTTCAAGCGATGTAACTGTAAGAATGTTCACGGAAACGACTGTGTAAGGAACCTGTTTAGGTGTGTATTGACTTTGATAAGGCTTCCAAGAATTAAATTTAAAGTAGAGTTATTTTTAAAAACATTTGACGCTGGCCACGCTCTTTCGTCAGTGAAAGGCTCACCGAATAGCTATTGCTGTCAAGTGCAAGAAAAATAGCAAGGTTTGACTTAAAGTAAGTAAAAAAGTAAGTTAAAATCTTGCTGTACTACAAAAGATACAAGATACAGCTGTTCTGCAGATGTGTTATAACAGCATTATAACAGCTGTTCTGCAACTGTGTTATAACAGCATTATAACAGCTGTTCTGCAACTGTGTTATAACAGCATTATAACAGCTGTGTTATAACAGCTGCACTTGATATACATAGCTAAAATAGGAGCGTGTCTACTGTTTTGAATCAGTTAGTAGACTTTGTGAGTTTCAGGGTTATGTTAAGGGTTATGTTTGAGGTACATTAAGACCACCACGGACCTCTTCCTACCTTCTGATTATAGTCTTTATGTAATTATCCGAGTAACATCACTGTCACTTATTTTAAAGAGCCTACCATAAATCTTCCACAAGTTGTAACAAGATTGTGATTAGCTTAACTGCAAGAGAAAAATACGTCTAGGATTATTAGGGAACGTACCCTCGAGGCTTTTACCGAGAGGATTATTAAATTTTGGCTGTACATCATTACATATTATTTTGAAATACTTGAGAAGGACAGGTTTGTTGGGACCTGTTGTGCAATGTGCACTGTCCCCCACACTTACAGGGGACCTGTTGTGCACTGTCCCCCACACTTACGGGGCTGAAGGACACGGAGCCAACTCCTCTCTGTAAGTTTCCGAGTCCCAGTACAGCGAGTGTCTCGAATGTTTCGCAGTTCCACACTCTGACGTGGGGCTGAAAAGTGGGGTTTAAATTAGGGTGAGTCTGAACATTTAAAAAAACTGGTAAAATAATGGTTTTATTTTTCAGTTTCTTTTTCCACTGTAACTGTTCCGTGAAAGGTGTAATCTGCAGGAAGCATGAATGAAAACTATCACGTGCCTAGAATTTCTGTTCAACATCATTAAAATATATACTAAAAAAGTAAATATATTACTGCGATCAGATCAGAGACCATTATAAGGTTAGAGTTGAACTCAAATTTTCAGCAGCGGTGTTACAAATAATTTTAAGACAGCTGACATTCAAACAAACACCTTAGATCTACAGCTCAGAATTTAATATTATTCCTCATCATTGATTATTCAAATAATATAATTTCAATATAATGTAACGTGCTACACAGTCGACAATGTGGCTGTGAAACATTATACGAGGGAGTTAATGCAATGATGCATGGGATAAAGGACACGATCAGTACATTATCCCTAATGTAGTATTGCATTAGCAGGTTCTGAGACTATACAAGGCACTAGACACAGCTTGTTTATAAGCTGAATGTTAAATGTACAAGACACAGCTTGTTTATAAGCTGAATGTACAAGACACAGCTTGTTTATAAGCTGAATGTACAAGACACAGCTTGTTTATAATAAGCTGAATGTACAAGACACAGCTTGTTTATAAGCTGAATGTACAAGACACAGCTTGTTTATAAGTTGAATAGACAACGAGATAAAGCTTAGCTAAATTATGAACAAATATACAATTACAGGTGTTTATTAATTACTATACAGCGAGATACAACAGTTAAATAGCTAAATGTGCTTGATGATATTATACAGTGATATATTATATAATGCTACTGCACAGTTCAATTTAATTTGTGTGTGTGTAACTGGGACGATACTCTTGTTTATCTGCTGTTAAGTTTTAATACTTTCAACACTACTATATAACAAATAATTTGAGGACCCCTAAACTGCCACTTACTCAAATTTTGTCACTACCCCCCGTGACTACAGTTTAAGACCTGCTCCCCAACAGGATCTTCTTGTGATGCCCCCAAAGATAGATCATATGGAAATTAAAGTGGCCGGGTCGGTGTCTTCGAATTATGTACCATTACAGGATAATGACAATGTATTAAAAGATCCTCGACAGCTTGAGGAAAATGGCACTTGTTCAAACTGTGCAGTTGAAAAAGCCCAAGTTAAAGATGAAACGGTATGTTGTATCAATTGTAAAAAGTTGTTTCATGCCCTCTGTGTGGCTCCTGTTTCAAATGACTCAAACAGTGCTAGGCCCAAGTCTAAGTCAATGCCCAATAATCCCTGTACCAAGTCTTTCTACACAGCTTTTGTACAAAACAGTTCGAACAAAAGTAAAGAACAACATATGGGAAACTTTCTCTTTATGTGTGATCCTTGCTTTACACATCATCAAGTGAAGCAGACTAGCACAACTAATGATCATGTTCAGGTACTTGACAACAGAGTAACACACTTAGCTAGTGATGTCACAGAGATTAAGAAATTATTGGAGAATGTAATTGCTGGGAAATCTATTAACCATTCCCCTGTTGATAATCTCATCTCGACAGCCAAAGCACAGTGTACCTTGAAACCAGCTACTGATCAGGGTGAGAACGTGCGGCTCGATGAAATAAGAACAAAATCCTTGCTGGTTGTTACAAAAGGTGCTAATGTTCCATGTAAAGATCTAGAAAAGACAGTGGTTGATAATGGAATCCAGGTTCATAAGCAATATGTTGATAGTAATGGTGATCAAGTACTCATATTACCAACCCAAGCTTCACGAGATAATCTGAAGACAGAGCTGATATCATCAGGTATAGCTGCTAATCAACTGAAAGAACCAAAGCAAAGATATCCCACTATCTCAGTTGTTGGTCTACCTAAGGATTTTAGTAGAGATCACAAAGAAGAGATAAGGAACACCATCCTGAAGCAAAATCCTTACATTTCTCACTGCCTCAAAGCAGACTCTTCACTGTTTGATGTTCTGTCTGTGAAACCTCTCCGTGCAAACCAAAATATCAAACAAGCCATCATAAGGTTGAGTGATAATATTAGAATTGCTATACGAGATAATAATAACAGGTTGTTCTTCGGTTTACTGTCTTGCCAAGTGTATGACCAACTTTACATAAAGAGATGTAACAAGTGTCAAGGCTTTGGTCACTATTCTAAGACTTGTAAAAACGAAGTGTATTGTGGTTTCTGCGCCGCCCCTGGACATGAAACTCAACAATGTGATAATAAGGACAACAATTCAGAGGAGAAAAATGATCTAATGCCCACATACTGTTGTATCAACTGCAAAAAGTCTGGCTCACCTGATGATTTATGTAAACATGCTGCATTTTCTACTGAGTGTCCTTCTTACCGGGTTCAGCAAGAGAAACTTAAAGCCTCCCTATCTTATTATTCAAAAAACTAGTTTCCTCCAAACCAAAGAAATTGCATCAACTTCGATATATGATCTGGAATGCTAGAAGTCTTAATAATAAGTGTGACGACATTATGTGCTTACTTCAAGATCATGATGTAGACGTTGCTATTGTAACTGAAACATGGTTATCTGACCAAGCCAATACTACAACAGCAGTTATAAAATCATATGGCTACAGTATTGTTCATGATTTCAGAGCAAACAACAGAGGTGGTGGCACTGCTCTGATTTACAACATGGCATTACATTTCTCTGTTGTTAATTTGAAAGTTCCGAACCTGACAACCTTTGAATTCATCGCTGGATCTATAAAGTGCACTCCTGACATGAAGATCCTTGTCCTATGCATCTATCGAACTGGCCCTGTCTCAAAGAAGTTCTTTGAGGAACTTGATGACTTATTGGGTTCTGCAAGTCTGAAAAGTGACTATATAATAATTGGAGGAGATTTCAATATTCACACAGAGTCAATTACTGTAAACTCAACTGAACTGCTGCAGACCACCTCATCTTATGGTTTCAAGCAACTTATTGAAAATCCGACCCACATGAGTGGAGGAACTATTGACCTGCTCTTTGACCAGAGTAACTTGATTGAAATGTCTACAATTGAAATCCTGAAAAACTGTACCCTGAGTGATCACTTCCCCATCATATTTGCCACCAAGAAGTTTCAAACTAACCTCAAAGCTCCTAAAACAATCAATACTAGACAGCTTAAAACCGTGGATTGTGATCAGTTGGCGATTGATTTACTGATGTGTTCCTCTGACTATGAATTGGCAGACTGCTTTGTTGAATCTTGTGAACAATTTTTCCAATGCATTGGTAGTGTCCTCGATGAACATGCACCTTTGGTCCAAAAGACTATAAGCTTTGTTCCCCATGCTCCCTGGTTTGATTCTGAGTACAAAGATCAAAGGAAACTTAGAAGGAAAGCCGAGAGAACTAAGCATAAAAGTGAGGAGAACAGGATACTCTTTGAAGAGATCCGAGATGAAACAACAAACATGGCTAATCTTAAAAAACAACAGTATTATAAAGGTTTACTTGACAAAAATCAACATGATGTTAAAGCTATATATAGCATTGTCAATCGTGAGCTTGACAGACATCAGAATACTCCTCTCCCAGAATCAGAAGATGTTTCAAAACTTTGCAGTGATTTAAATCACTACTTCAATGAAAAGATCAAGAACATTAGGAAAGATTTCCCCAGCATAGAAGATTTTGATGTTGATAAACACATTATGAATCAACAGAACAATTCCAACTGTGAAGGTCGGTTATATGAATTTGAACCATGCACAGAGGATGAGCTGTCTGAAATAATCAAAGAAAGTGGAATCAAGTGTGCACCATCTGATTTTCTTCCAACAACTGTCCTCAAAGACAATATCACAAGTTTCATTCCTGTCTTGTGCAAACTGGTGAACCAGTCTCTAGCTAAGGGCACATTCGACGGTTTGAAGACTGCTCACATTATTCCTACCATCAAGGACCACAAACTTGATCCAAATGACTTCAAGAGCTATCGACCTATATCTAACCTCTCTTTTCTGGGTAAACTCATCGAGAGAGTTGTGCTGAAAAGGTTAAATGAACATCTGGCTAAAAATGATCTCAATGTTCCACAGCAATCTGCCTATAAGAAGTTCCATTCTACTGAGACCATCTTGTTAAAAGTAACAAATGACCTACTGCTGGCATGTGATAGCAAATCCTCCACTGTTCTCATGATGCTCGATTTATCTGCAGCCTTTGACACAGTGGAACACAGAAAATTACTCAAAATTCTTTCTGAAGAGATCCATATCGGAGGTACTGCTCTTAAATGGTTCAAGAGTTTCCTGGTAGGCCGCACTCAAAGAACCAGAATAGGCTCTTCTACTAGTGATACGATCATTCTAGAATTTGGTGTACCTCAAGGTTCTGTGTTAGGACCGGTGCTATTCAACATATACATCAGATCTCTGTATAGGACCATCGAGAAATCTGGATTCAATGTGCAAGGATATGCAGATGACCACCAGGTATATAAAACTTTCAAACCTTGTGATCAGGTAAATGTTCTGGGCATCCAAATTGTGAATTGCGCTAGGACCATACAGCGCTGGATGGTTGAATATTGCCTTCAACTTAATCCTGGAAAAACACAAATACTTATCATCGCCTCACCTCAAGTTCTTAACCAGGTCAGTATAGGGGGAGTTAAGCTATCAAATGATACCTGTATCAGATTTGTCAGCACAACAAAGAACCTTGGTGTTCAAATTGACCATCATCTTACTTTTGAGCCTCAAATCATGTCCCTCAAAAAGCATTGTTTCAGACTCCTTGTAGGAATGTAATAAGGAGAAAATATCTCTTTAGTAAAGCTCAGCTCAAGCTTATAATTAACAGCATCATTGTCTGCAAATTGGACTACTGCAATGCTCTTTATTATGGAATTAGTGACAACCTCATCCACCAACTCCAACTCGTTCAGAATGCAGCTGCTAAAGCTATAGTAGGACTATATAAATATGATCATCTAGGAG